TGAATATGGGTGGATATGGATCTAGCAAAAATTATTGAGACGCTAGCTTTCTTCAGCATCAGATGTTATTATGGGCATTATAATGTGAAACACAGTATCTGAAGTATTCCAGACCATTTCCTTATATTTGGCTTGAGTTTAGGAACATATTGTTGTTAGATACTACACGACTCTATATTTCTTCTGTGTGTAGATCGAACTTTAAACTTCCAGAATGAAGCCACCCTCTTGGCTTTGTTGTTGGCCAAAAATAAATCATTATTGGTACATGTTTCTGGTAGTAGTTGACATATCAGCAGATGGGCTGGGCTCTGTGTCTCTCCACATTCACATAGCATTATTATCTACCAAGACTCTCCGCCAAGAGACTCAAGCATATTGGTTTTACATTTAGTCACTCCAACTCTCGAGGGTTCTCTAAGTAGTATAAGGGAAGTCAGACCCTTCAGCCATATCCTCCTTTAATGTTATTCCTTGCTTGATGCCTCCTTCCTCCATCTTTTAATTCAATTTTGTTCTTGTGTACCCTCAAGAACGTTTGTTCTTTCAATATAGGGCTCTGTACAATATAAGGTGAACCAAGAGAAGACAATGTCTTCTACTATAACTTTAAATATCCTAATATAGGCATTGTTTTAATTACTGTAAAATTATATATTATCATCTGTACAATTGTAGCTGATACATTACACTATTTCATCCCCACTCTTTTTGGTAATCTTTAGGTGGAAGAAACACAGAAGATGAAAATAGGTGATCCACTAGATAGAACTACAGACCATGGACCTCAAAATCACAAAGCACATTTGGAAAAGCTTCTGGAGTACTGCCAAACTGGAGTAAAAGAAGGAGCAACTTTATTATATGGAGGAAGACAAGTATGTAGACCAGGTGAGTAAGATCTAATATAGGAATATTAGAAGGCATTTGAATGCATTTGAAGCTTTTTCCCCCCAATGTAAAGTGGATGTTTCCAATGAAATTTGACTAAATGGAATAACAATGGAATAACAAAAACACTGCACCAGCAACTGGACCGCTAGATACACCAGAATCCTCCTTGGTTAATGTTGTTTTTCATCAAGTTTTTAATTTCTCTCTCTTTTTTAAATTTCAACATCGAACATTAAAATACAAACCAAGATAAAAGCAAAAGGGAATAACAAGAAAAATTAAGTGACAAAAATACATTAAAGAAGTTTAAAAGAAAAGCGACTTCTGACTTTCTTTTTAGTTCAATTATATTCAGCTGGTGACCCACCAAAATGTATGTTGTTCTTTTTACACTAGCTAATTCTCCAATTGTATTCCTGCAGTCATGGTAATATCATAAGGGTCAAGTAATTATAAAGCATATTGAGGAAGGGGTGTAGAAGAGAATGAAGGCAACCGATCATAAAATGCACAACATAAATTGTAGCTTCAAATGATCTATGACAACCTTGTTTGGAAACTAAAATTATATCAAATGGATGCGCTTGTTAAAATAATCAACTGACTAAAAATTAAAGTCCTTGTTTATTATATATATATATAATAAGTTATATATAAAATGCATTGCTGAAGACAGATAACCTATGACCCATGTATCAAGATGGAAAATGATGGAGGTTGTAACTACCCCTTTTTTTCCCATTAGGCTTCTTCATGGAACCTACCATATTTACCAATGTTGAGGATGACATGCATATTGCCCATGAAGAATCCTTTGGGCCAGTGATGATCATTTCCAAGTTCAAAGATGGGTAGGTTCTGTTCCAATTAATGTCGCTGTTGTTGCTGCAGCTTTTCAAACCCAGGATCCTTGCAAGTAATAGTTATCTGAGAAGAGCAAATTAACCTGCTTCACTCATTTTCTCCATTGCAATTTACATCTTGGAGGAAAATTTCTGTGAGGTAGATTCCTCCCCTAATTTGGAATCCTGTACCAGCATGGTGGCTCATGAGGTTAGGATCCTGGGCTGATGATTGGCAGGTTCACGTTTGAGAGCTGGTTGCTTCCACAAGGCAGGGTGAGCTCCGGTCACATGGTCCAGCTTCTGTTGACCCAGCAGTTCAAAGGTGGCAACCACAAGTAGATAAATGGGTACCACTTTGGTGGGCAATTTAATGGGGTTGTGAAACGAGCCCCCAACTAGGCATCCCCCAGGCAATGGTGATGTCACTGTCCAATTCTTTCAACCCAGAAGCGCTTCAACACAAATGTAGTAGTATTTGGAATCCTATTTAATTACTACTGATGTTCTTTCCCAGTTGATGACCTTAAGAATCATGCAATTGTTAATTTTGTGAATTAAATAGTATTGTTACATACATTCATTACATATATTCTAGCCAAGTCTCTAAAATACTTCACAAAAATATCAGATTGGATTTACAGATGATTCTAAACAATGTTGTTTTAACCATATTTCAGTGAAAGTTCAGTGGCTGGTTTGCAATTCCAGACAGTTATAGAATATAAATAAACTACGATTCCTAAACTATATGCTTGAACTGAAATATATTTTATTATGGCTTAGCACTATATAAGAACACAATATATGCTACAAAATCTGAGGATGAAAAATAATGGAGTAATAAATTTTGCATCTTTGGTATGTTTTATGCTGTCTATATTTTAGATGTTTCTTTATTGTCACAGAGATGTTGATGGAGTGTTAGAACGAGCCAACAGAACAGAATATGGTTTGGCTTCAGGTGTTTTCACCAAAGACATAAGTAAAGCACTATATGTGAGTGACAAACTGGAAGCTGGAACTGTTTTTATTAACACTTATAACAAAACTGATGTGGCAGCACCATTTGGTGGATTCAAGCAGTCTGGTTTTGGAAAAGATTTAGGTAAGCAGCACTTCATATTTTCTCTCTAGATTCCAATTATATTTACAAAGTGACATGTATTAAAGGTAAGAAATTTATCACCTTCCAGAACTGGTTGGCTCCTATTCTGAATCAACACGAAGAACCATGAATGATGGTTTTTGTAGTGTAATGGCAAAAACTGATTGTTATAGACTATTTGTTCTCTAGTACAATGTGGGTTTTGTAATGGAGCAATTCTCAAAATGCATTTGAAATAGAGTGGTGCTATTCTACCCTTAAAATCAGAGCACATATCCAATACTGTAAATTGCAGCCTGACAATCCCATGTGAAAAGAACATGCAACTTAGAACCTGTTGCAAAATGCAGGCTTCTTTTACAGTATAGGTAATCTTTTAACATCTTAAGCTGCACTTAAAAATAATTTTGGTCCATGGAGGAGGTATAAGGTTGTAATTCTGCCTATTCATTCACTCCCTGCCAGCCAGACATATAGGCTTAATGATCTGTTGTAAGGCACCTTCTCAAAAAGGTGGGGGGATTCAGACAAGTGCAAAAATAGGAACTCGAGAGGCTGCACTGGCCCAAGGACTACTGTCTGTCTACCTTTGCTCTGAATTTCAAAGCTTAAAATCCTGTACTAGTCCTTTCATTAATTGTTTAATGGCCATGTTTTTATCTAGCAATTATTAATTGTCTACCTTAAGTATCATTTTTTAACAGAAAATGCAGGCATGGGTAGTATTAACAGGATTTGGGGGTGGGGGGAGTTAATATGCTTCATCTTCTAACTACCTCCCCAGGGTACCTCCCACCCGCCTGATCTTCTCAGAGCCTTCCATCTCATCCTTCCCCTCCTAGGAACTCAAACATTCAATATGCACATATCACATTGGCCTGTTCAGCCTTCCTAATTTCCCTCCAATCTTCAGTATATATACAATAGAAGGGTATCTCTTGTGTTGCCTTCTACTAAATCTCCATTATACTGAGGGTTTACTTGGTTTTAAGTTAAGCTTTTTGCAAACCCTTCCACTGTGAGAAACTTTGCACCCTTGGAGACTCCAACTAATGCAGACTTTCTTGTTCCTTTTAGGTGAAGAAGCTCTTAATGAGTACCTGAGAACAAAAGCTGTAACCGTGGAATACTGAACAGCTAAGCCAAGAAGCTCCATTCTTCCTCAGACTCACAGCAACTACAGGATTACAAACAACAAAGTAAAATATGCTTCCTGGCGTGAACATGCCAACCAGTGTCTCAGTGCAATGATCCAATTAAGAACATTTGCATTTATTCACAACGGGATTCCTCAGAGGAGTTCAACACTTGCTACAGATTACTGTGATCATAAAGTATTTTTTCCTGTAGCTATCATGTTCTGCTCCATTTGCTGACATTTAGGGCTATCTAAAGGTGAGACAGAAATCTAAAAACCATCGAATTTCTGATATTTTTGTCTTTATAAACCCTTTACTTAAGTTGGAAACATGGTATAATTTTTTTAATTTGTCCTCAGTAACCCAGTGGGTCTTGGCCACTTTACACCAGCATCATACTTTTTTCCTGCAATAAACATTTTGCATTTTTGAACTCAGAAAACCAGTTCACCATAAACATGGTTTATGTACCCAAGGAAGTGCACTTATTATGAATCTGTACAATAAAGAATTGAACATCTGTGTTATTCCCCTAAATAAAAAAAAAAGTTGTAGAACTATTTTGTAATCTGTTTGCCAATGAGTTGTATGTGATCTCTAATTGTGGGTGCCAATTACATTAAATAAATGCTTTTTGGATGTCCTGTGGTATTTAATGACCTAGTACTGCATCTGTAAGATAATCTCGCTTGCTCTCTAATACGTTTACAATGCTCTGAAGTCAGGGGTTCCCCAACCCCCGGTCTGTGGCACCAGTCCACGACATCCCAGGGAAAAAAAGTGACGGACCAACCAAGGGATGCAGGCAACACACAAAACCATGCTCACTTGGGTCCACGGAAAAACTTTCTCCACAGAACTGGTTCCTGATGCCCAAAAGGTTGGGGGCCACTGTTCTAAGTCATACAATACATATTAAGTTTTGATTCAGGGAAAAAGTGTGAACACAACTATTCTGAATTATTCAACAAGATATGATTAAAGCCATGGATTAATACAATTTATAAAGACAACCACCCAGGTTTTGAATGTATTTACTACTTGCAATTGCAAAATATTAATTGAAAACAATGTACAACATTGTGGTATTAAATACAGTGAACAGAAAGGTAAGACTACGGTAATGTTCATCTCAAAACAGATAGTTGCTCTATCTAAACAGAAAGATATTTTGCGTTTGTACCTTGTGTGTGAGCTTTCCAGGAATATACCGGTACTATGGAAAATAAATAGAAAATTTTGGTGGGTTGTGCAAGGACACCTAAATTTTATTTATATTTATGTATTACAATTATTATCAACTCAAATCAATACACTGCATGATGGTCCTGTTCCCTGAAGGTTATGGACCATAATCTACCATGTACTGTATAGGGCTATTAATTATTGCTAATGTTCAGCCAATTTTTTCAGAATGTTCAGCCAATTTGACTTTTTATGTCAAACATTCCTGATTTGTATCCAACCCCATTTTCAGTAAGCAATAACAGCTCAAATATTTATTCAGAAATAAGATCTTATTCAGTGTATGCTCCAGTAAAAATGCATAATCATAACAAATTGTCCATAAGAATAAAACTAACATCAGTTCAAATTGGCATTATCTTGCCAAGTTGATGCCTTTTACAGTATAAAGCAAATGCGGTGCACCTTAAAAATTCTTTTTTATTCTATTTAAATAATCTTTATGAGAATACAAGGTATATTTTAATTTCAAAGATGTAACGTGATCTCAAACTGGCTGGGATTATAAACTCCCAATTTGATTTGTAGCATATTTTGGACCCCCCAAATATACTGGATTCCCAATGGCATTCCTCATTCTCCCTTATGAAGGCTGCTTATCAACAAAAATATCTCCGTCTAACACAATTCTTTCACCTTGACCTTAAAGGACAGTTCATGCAAGGTGAGTAACCTTTGTCACAAACAAGTGAGCTTGAATCCCAACCAGACCTGGGAGTTGGGAATATAATTCATTTGGAAGGCCATTACTATTAACATATAATAGTGGGTCACCAGCCCAAATACTTTGTAATTGAAACAATCTAGAGTAAATGATCTGTTTCCCAAAGATATTTTCATTGGTCTCTATGTAACCCAAGAGTTGGTATTGATAAGTAATGTTATTACAGATTAAATTAAAGATAGTTCATAGCTATTGATGCTTTTGTTTCTGTCTGGTCCAATTCTTTCTGCTTTCCCCTCAATTTTATAATGAAATCCTTAATTTCATCTGACTTGATAGCAGACCTACAACAGATTTTTTTTACACCTCTCCACATATCAAGTACACAAGATTATTAGTACACAGCACAATGAACATGAGGATTACATGTAGATATTGAAATAGCAGGAAAATAAGGCTAATTCACCTCCTCAGTTTTTACTGTCCAACATTTCTATCCGTCCTTCTCTTTTTGACAAGGGAAACTTAATATTTTCTTCAGTAACTTCTTCACAGGTAGAGGTCTCCTCGCATTCTGAATCATCTTCTGATTCTGTTGTATCACAGTCATTCAGTTCTACTAAGGCCACATTCTGTCATAATTTAAATAAAATGAAAGTAAAATAAAATGAAAGCAAGATAATATTAAGGGCACAATGAGAATGTAAATGTACATCAGATTCAGTGCTGAAAATCAAAAGCAGTTAATTTTTAATTTCAATTATCATTATCTGAAGACTTAGAAAATATCTCAACAGCAGTTCCTAAACTATTCCCACAAGTACCAGTACCAACGAGTAGGAGTCCCAACTACCATGTCCAATAGGCATGCTCACAAGGTCCCCTTTATTAAAGTACCATTTTGAAGGACCAAGATTTGCTTTCTCTATTCTGGTCCCGTCTATGGAACAGCCTTCCCTGGCCTTCTTGGTCTTCCAGAAAGCCATAAAGACCATGCTTTTCCCCAAGTATTAAGGCCTAGTGTTAAGGAAACCTAATATACACATGTGTATTTGGTGAATTTGTTAATGTCACCTCCATTTTTCTATGTATTGGACTTTTTAAAACTTAGTTTAGTTATGGCATTCTATTTATAGGTGGTCCTCAAATTACAACCATTTGTTTAATGACTGTTCAAAGTTCCAGCAGCACTAAAAAAATCAGTCAGTTTTTGTACTTATTGCAGAAAAAGTACTTGTGTTGCAGAATCTCCACAGTCACGTAATCAAACTTTGAATGCTTAGCATCCAGCATGTATTTAACCTGGTTGCAGCGTCCTGGATCCTGGGAGTGTCACTTGTAACTTTCTTAGGGAGCTTCTGACAACCAAAGGCAATGAGGGAAGCCACATTCACTTCATATCCTCATGATTCACTTAACAGCTTCGGTGATTTGCTTAACTTCCATGGCAAAATGTTGTAAAATGGGACATAACTCACTTAACAACTGTCTTACTTAGCAATGGAAATTTTGGATTCAACTGCGGTTGTAAGTCAAGGATTCATCTACTGGTTTTAGCAAAATGATTGCTTTCTGCCCCGAGTTACCTATTTAAGATGGTCAACCATTTAAGATGGCTGGCCAGAGAAATAGCTTAAATAAGGAGACTACTTGCATGGAAGCCACTGACAAAGTCTTTGTTTATAGCCAGGAAAAAGCAGCTAGATGGATCAGAGGCTGAAAACAATTTACTTACAAAACAAATTTAACTTACAAAACAATTGCTGAAAACAAAGCACCATAGAGCCAGTGGCTCTCATCTGCTGCTTAGGCAAATGTTCTGGGCATAAGTTGGCTATCTCCATCAACAAGGAATACAAGATTAGTGTTAAAAGGAATTTTGGAGACAAAGTAGTCAAAGTCTTTCATAGAGGAAGGTGCTAGCTGCAGCAGTCTTCCTAAATCTGAGACTCTTCTGGATGTCTGGTGTATCATATTAAAACTTCGTGACAAAGCTTTTCCCTGATTGGGCTGACAGGGAATTTTGAGAAATATAACCGTCAAACATCTGGATTGCATATGGGAAAGAGTGCTACTCTGAAACTTTGCCTGAAAAGTTTGATATGCTTAATTGAAAAATTTTATGACATCCATGCCCTTGGCCTCCTAGAAACATGGCTTTCTCAGGCGGGTTGTGAAGAGTGTTATAGAGCAATGCAATTTCTATAAATATTCTAGCTTTGTAATTTTAGTCTTGATTTTAATTTTTTTAAAAATTGTACCAATTTAAATACTTAAAACAGTATTAGCTGTCTTCTATCTGGCTAGTTTCAGGGGTTAGATGAATTTGATAAATAAAAAATTACTTCAGTAATAGCACAGAAGTCAATTTCAACAAAAAAAATGATAACATCCAGATATTATTATGGATAATAGTTTTTGAAGAGGTCTAGACACTAAACAACAACAAGAAATCATTCTACTTTGGGTATACCATAAACACAAATGTATAATGCTCTATGCCAAGGAATTAACTAGAAACAAAAATATATTCACCATTTCAATTATTTTTTCCATCGAAGGTTCTACATGTTCAATGTCAAACTCTTGGCTAGGTTTGCTGTCCATTTCTCTTCTCAGCTGATTATTTGCACTAGCCATCTGGGGTAGAAAATTCTGCACCTTATCCAAAACTAACGTACAGAAATGTGTTTATGAAGACATTAATATTTCTTCTAAGCTTTTAAAGAATTAAATTTAAAGAATTAAAAAAACATCACTGGTGAGGGTAGGAGGAACATAGGGACGGCCAGCAACACCCCACATATAGGGAATGAAAATAAACATAGAAAATATAGAAAGGCAGTGCTAAATATGCTGTTAAACAATTGCCGTATTGCAAGATAAAATTATCATGAAAGGTCTAAACTTCAAATCCATCTGTATGTAAATAACGATGCTATATAAAAATATACTTCATTATATTTCGTTTAACCACTACTGTTGAGAACCCAATTTTAATGTTTACTCTTTGTTCTGCATAAATAATAGAAAATGCATGATTCATCTCAAAGATCTCCATGTATATTTAAGCTTTAAATCCATTAACATTGTTTAGGATACAGCCCCTCCTGCCAAAAGGCAAGACTTCATCTATGATTATTATTTTCTAACATACATATATAATTCAGGAAAGGCACAATCCTCAGTGCTTTTTAAACTTGTCTACCTTAAAATGGGTGGACTTCAACTTCCAAAATTCCCCAGCCAGCACACTGGGTAGAAAATTCTTGGGAATTGAAGTTCACACATGTTAAAGTTGCCAAATTTGGAAAACACTACTCTAAGTCTTAACTCACTAGTAAAAAAATAGATATACTTACTGTTGCTCCTGGGCAGCCTGGTTGTCTGTAAGGTTGTGCCTTTCTTTTTAGTATATTTTGGACCAAGCAAAAGTGTTTCGCTGATACCTAGAAATCCAGAAGACCTTCTTCAGTTGAAAAGGCACATACTGTTGATTTTACTAGTACATTATTTCCCTCTATAGGCAGCTTTGCCCTCTACTGCAGATTAGATGATGCAAATAAGTTGATGCAAATCAGTTCCTTCGAGTTGTGGGAACTGTGAGAAGCATGGTACTTTTTTCAACCCCATGCACTGCACAAACCAAATATTATAATATTGTAGTATAAACTTTTCAGACTATTGTGCCTTTCAAAAGTGGAAAGCACTAAAGCATTCTCATCGACATTTAGCAAGCATTAAATATATGAAACGACGAAGTGAGAAAGTCGAGACAGAAAGGACTTTTTTTCAGGCTCAAACTCTCATTCTTTCACTTTTAGCACTTTTAACACGTTCGAGTTTGCAAAAGAGTTGCACCTTATTTTTATGAAATATTTGTACGTGATGTTCATTTATTCGCGCAAGATCTTACGAATACCATGTCCCTACAGGACTTTTATTTAATTTATTTATTTCCTTTTGGAAGTTCAAGAATACAGAATCTGGAAGCAACGCAACGAGAGGGGAAAAAAAACACGTTACAAGTATTGCAACGTTTCTCAAACTTAGCAACGTTAAGATGTGTGGACTTCAACTCCCACAACTCCCGAACCAGCCATTGGGAATTGTGGGAGTTGAAGTCCACACATCTTAACGTTAGCCAAGTTTGAGAAGCGCAGGGTTACTGGGAAAGGACGAGACCAGGAAGAACGGCGTTCGTTCCTTGCCCTGTGGCGCCTCTCTTTGAACACATTCACACCACCAAGTTACCTCCTCCGCCTCCCACGGAAAGAAGCACCCGAGATATCTCCGGACCGGCGTTGCCATTGCTCTGCGCCATTCAGCCCAATATGAGCCTTGCTCGCTGTTAGCAAAGCGCCCCGCCTCCAAGAGGAAGCCAGAGCACGTGGCCAGGAACGGCCAAAGGCAGAGTGGCTTCGCAAGCGTAAACAGCGCCCCCTAGAAGCACAGAGGACCTTCATCAGGCTCGAAAAGACTATGGGAAGTCTTATATCACAGTAAATTTGATTAGATTAAATTAGATTAACAGAATTTGAAGGGACCTTGTAGGTCATCTAGTCCAACCCCCACCCAATATTCTCTCACATAGTTTCACATTTCACATTGTATTTTATTTAAGTTATGGTAGCCGTAATTTTCTTTTACAGATTCCAAGAGGCAGTTTTGTGTCTCAGTTACAAGCGACTACTCAATACCTGTCCTGCAGAGTTGTTACAATTTAGACTTAGAATTTAGAATAACTTTATTGTCACTTCGAATGTGCACTAATCGGCCTACGTTAAAATGAAATTTTGTTGCATACAGCTCTCAAAGGGTCTCCACTACAATGCCATTCTATAGATGACCCCAAACAATCAAGTAATGTATTGATAATTGTCAAAAGTATATCATATCCCATACTGAGGGTTTCTTTTTTCTTTTTTATAAAGTTGTATTAATTTTCTACTATTATATTTGATTAGTGCTTAATAAACATCGTGTTGTCTGGGTTGTTTTGTTATAGGCATAATATCAGAAAAAATTGCTAAACCAAGTCTATATTTAATATTGCATGTATTAACAGCAGTGAGGACTGTATTTGCACAGCATTGGAAAAATGAAGAAATACCACTAGATGAAGAGATAATTAAAAAGACATTGGACTATGCAGAAATGGACAGACTTATACTGAAGATTAAACAGAAAAATGATACAGAATACTATCAAACATGGAATTTATTTTATCAATGGCTGAAAAAAAGGGGTAAAGATTAGGAATATAGTTTGTGTTAAGCAAACAAAACAACCCATATCCAGGGTTTCCATCAAGCCGCCAAGTACTCCCTATTTAGATTTTTAAAAAAATCTAATTTAAAGAAAAATCTGACAGTTTACTCAAAATTTTTGTAATAGTTCTAATAAATATGCTATCTTCTTAATATCCTCCCAAAGGATAGGAAGAGTATTGATACTTTTGAACTTGGTGTTGGATAAGATTCCTGAGAATAGCATGAACATCCAAGAAAACAAACTAATGGGTCCCTGAACAAACCAGCCAGAATTCTCACTTGAGACACAGAGCATCAGGTTCAGACTGTCCTACTTTGGACACATTATGTGAAGATCAAGCTCTCTGAAGAAGCTCTTAATTCTGAGAAAAGTGGAAGTAGGAAAAAGATGATGACAAGCAGGTGGATCGACTCAGTCGCCGGGTTAATAAGTGCTTCACTGGAAGTCCTGAAGGACAAAGGACAAATAGTTATGGAGAAAATCTATTTATGTGGTTATCAAGATAGACTGGAGGGACATGGTGGCTCAGCAGCTAAGACACTGAGCTTGTCAATGAGAAAGGTCGGCAGTTTGGTGATTTGAATCCCTACCGCCGCATAACGGAGTGAGCTCCCGTTACTTGTCCCAGCTTCTGCCAACCCAGCAGTTCGAAAGCATGTAAAAATGCAAGTAGAAAAATAGGGAGCACTTTGGTGGGAAGGTAACAGAGCTCCATGCGCCTTTGGCATTTATGCCAAGTCACATGACCCAGTCATGACGGCCACATGACCACGGAGACAACTTTGGACAGTGCCAGCTCTTCGGCTTTGTAACAGAGATGAGCCATAGCTGGAAATGACTAGCATGTATGTATGAGGAGAACCTTTACTTTACCTTTTACAAGAGTTGACAATGGTTTTAGTGCCCTTTAATCAAGCAATCCTCTTGAAATGTGTGCTCTATAATTACAAGATTGTAATAGTGTGATTGCAACTATTAGATAGATCTTTTTCATTTAATTTTTTTTCTATAATATTTCAATAAGGTCACCATTATCTCATCAGAAATCCTTTTTCCTTGCAAATTTGTATTTAATAGACAAACTTGCTAGTCAGTTTAAACATTCTTTTTTGTTTCCCTGTTTAACACTGTTACTTTGAGTGGCTGTGGGGCTGTTGGAACTTCTTTCCCATTCTGAAATGTAGAGTGCAAACCAGCAATATAGGATAACAGGTAATTTCTCCCCAGGTCTTTACATCATCCATGGGGTCCCTATCCATTTATTTGACATTTTATCCTTTTTATCAGTGGCCTGCTCTTTCTATGTTTGCACATGGAAGCTATTTCTTGAAAGAGTCTGTCATACACACAGAACATCCCTCAGACCAGGGGTGTCAAACTCGATTTCATTGAGGGCCATATCAGCATTATATTTGACCTCAGGAGTGGGGGCTGGTGGCCAGGGTGGGTGTGGCCAGCTTGACATCACTCGTGTCAGGGTTGCCTGTGATGGCCCGAGCATTCTGCCAAAGAAAACGGCTCCCAAGCTCTGTTTTAAACTGTTACGGCCTCCTACAACCCTCTGCCAGTGAAAATGGAGCTCAGGAGGGCCCATCCACAGCCCTCCCAAGCTCCATTTTCACTGGCAGAGGCACTGCGGGATGGTCCTTTGCTGTTTCCAGGGCGACCTTGCGGGCCAGATCTAAGCACCCTGCAAGCCAGATACAGTCCCCGGGCCTTGAGTTTGACACAGGGGTGGGCTTCAAAAATTTTAGCAACAGGTTCTCTGCCCAGTTGCTGGGTGGGTGTGGCCATGGCGGGTGTGGCCTAGTTGGTTTCCTACACCACGGCGGGGAGGGGGGCGTTTTTGCCCTCCCCAGGTTTCGGAGACTTGCCTCAAACCTCCAGGAGTGCAAAAATGGCTCCGGAGGCTCTTTGAAAGCTGGAAACAGTCCCATTTCCAGCCTTCCCAAACTTCTGGGAGGCCCATTTTTCGCCCTTCCCAAGCTTCCATGCGCACCCTGCACTTACCTGCATCCAAAAAGGGCCAAAATGGGGACCAAAAGGGGACTCCTGGGAGGGGAGGAAAGAGGTGGGCAGGACCAGCCGGAGTGGGATTTGGCGGTTCTCCAAATTGCATAGAATCTTAGCTAGGGGCTCTGCTGAACCCCTGCGAACCCCCAGCAGCCCACCCCTGGTTTGACACCCCTGCCTCAGACTATGAGTCCCCATTCCATTCCATTGCAGAGAATGGATTGATTCAGTACAACTGTTCTAACTACTCCCAGCAAAGGTAAGATCTGCACACAAAAAATAATGATTTGATATTAATACCTTTAAACACATTCTGCAATACAACTTCAGTTCTCCAACCACTTCTGTTCTGTTGTGGGTGAAAGAAGACACGCAGCCAAAGGGAACAGTGCAACTTGTTTATTCAGTTAACAATGATAACAGAATGGCTGAACCCATCTGACAGTTCCCGTTTTATAGGGGCTGTCAGATGAGCCAGCTAATCACATTCAAGAGGTTTTCCTACCTAAACTGCGGATCTGAGTGAAAATTTCAGTTATACTAAAACCACAACACCCCTCCCTTATTTTGAATTGTAACCAATGAACAACGACATCGCTTAACATAGTCGTGCAAGTAGGCGGGGCTTCTAAGGATCCACTCTGACCTGTGCACATCATTCGGGAGTGAGATGGTGGTCAGACCTGTTGGGTCTGCTGCTCTTCTTGTTCTGCCCCGGAACCTGCTGGGACTCCCCTTGGGGCGTGTTTACTTCTTCCAGAGTTGACTCACGGTTGCCCTGCTGCTGGTCTCCAGCTTCCCCGGGTATGTGTGGCTGTGGATTCTCCAGGTTTGAATCCGCTGTAATGGGAAATTTGAGGCCTTTATTATTCTCTATAGAAAGGTTGTTTTTTAGGTTGTTTTTTGTGTTGGGTTTCCCTATTCTCCCCCTTAATTGGTTGATATGTCTCCCTCCTATGCAGCCGTCTTCTAATTCCACTTTGTAAGATCTAGGGCTCATGATCGCTATTATTTGTCCCGGGATCCAGAGGGGACCTTCCATGTAATTTTGTGCATACACCCCATCCCCGATTTTGAATTCCCTGACTCTGCTGTTGGAGTCAGGAGTTTTCTCGTTGGAGTAGTTAGGGTGCAGTCTATCCAGCCTACTACTCAATTCCACCCCATCAATAACTCGGAGGGGTTTTTATGTGTGGTTGCATTGGGTGTGACATGTTGTATTAATAGAAAAGTGTCTATACCCATTTGCCAGTCTCCCAGCCCCATTCTTGCTAACACCTCTTTTGTGGTTCTCACCATTCTCCCTGCTTGTCCGTTTGCCGAGGGGTAAAATGGTGCTGTTAGTGTGTGGCGAATGCCCAATTCCGCTAGGAACATCTCAAATTGTGTGGAAGTAAACTGGGGGCCATTATCAGAGACTAGGATGTCCGGTAGGCCATGCGTTGCAAATAGTTTCCTTAGGACTTTAATTGTGGCCTCCGTTGTTGTAGAGTGCATCAATATAATTTCTAGCCATTTTGAATACACATCCACATATGTATATATATATACCTGAATAACTACCATAAAAGTTTGCCCGTGGAACGGTCCCTCAAAGTCTATATGAATCCTAGTGTACGGTGATTTCGGGGCTTCCCATTCCTGGGGTTGCGCCACCGGTGGGGCGGGCTTTGATTCTTGACAGTTCTTACAGGTTCCTACCCATTCTGTGATATCTTTATCTATATTGGGCCACCACACATAACTTCTAGCTAACGTTTTCATCTTAACTATACCCGGGTGACTCATATGCAATAATTCTAAAATTAGTTTCTGTAATTTTGTTGGAACAATAACACGCTTCCTTCATAACAAACACCCCTTGATTGCCAATAATTCATGTTGTCGGTTATAGAACGGTTTCAACTCTCCAGATACTGGCCCGTTAGGCCATCCCCTCCCAACCCAACTCAGTAGTTGCCCTAAGGTTTTGTCCTTTGCTGAAAAATTAGCGATTTCTATCGCGGAGATCGGGCTGCGTAATTCCTCAATGAGGGGTACAGTTTCTGCTGGAGCTGGGTCTTGTCCTGTTTCTGGTAATGGACAGCGGCTG